AAAAAAAAAAAAAAAAAAAAAATTGGTAAACGTTTTGTTGCATGTTTTGCTATGCCCGAAATGCACTATGGTCTATGTCACTGCTAACAGCGAAACGTCACGTTTTACCGGTATATTGTCTTTTGTGCTGATATCATTTACATATGAATAGAATACTTTTAAAACTTGGCCCGTGAGCAACATGCAACATCACCAACATGCAAACCTTCACCAACCTTTTTAGAATAGCTGTATGGTCTACACTGGGGCGGACTTTGACAAATATCTAAAGGTGTGGACACACACAGTGCAACATTGCACGCAACAAATTTGAACCGGGGTGACACACCACGTTGCAACAAAATCACGCAACATCGCTTGTGTCAGCGCGCTATGCTAAGAAATTTGGTCAGCGGTTATAAATTTGACGCAAGCTGAATGGTTCGAAATTTCAAAATCAGTGTTGCACGCAATAATGCAGCCATGTTCACACGATGAAATTTGTTGTGCGCAATGTTGCAAGACTAGAGCTCGATTCAACTTCAGATTTGCTGCTTGCAATGTTGCGTGCAACAAGTTTCTGGGGTAGACACACGCTGCAATAGTGTGCAATCTGCGTGTAATGTTGCACCCTGTGTCTTAAGCTTAAGTGTTTCAATACCCACCAATGAGCTGTTTTGATCAGCTACGTACGAAGCAGTTGTTTGTGTATAAACATCAAGCACCAGTTTTGGATATCCTCCAATGCGCTGCTGGAAACTGGTTTTCTTGGGTCGCTAAATGAATAAAAATATAAATACATGCATTTTTATCAGTGCTTTTAATAATTGTTGTATAGCATACCAATTTTCATCAGGCAGCTAAATGAAAACGACTAAATGCATTTTTATAAGTGCTCATAATAATTATTGTATAGTATTCCCCGAAAAAACTAGCGTTTAAATTCCCATCGAGTCTTAGTAATGTACTATTCAACTCATCTCCCGACCCCCGGGACAGGGCGGAGAATTAATGCGGCGAGATCGGGAATTTAAAGCGTATTTAACAGTGTGAATGCACGGGGAAATTCAATTAAGTTTAAGTCTTAACTTTTAACGCCTTAATTTTCTATTTTGAATTTTTCAATATCTGTAACGGGGAGGCGTTTGTAACGACAGTCAAAATCTTTTGCAAGGCTGCTGGTCGCGAGAACGGTAAAAAGTTGCTTTAAAAAACGGATAGCGTTGAATAGCTGAACGGAAGTCATGGTGTTGATGTGCAAGGTATCAGACTAAGGTGCTGTGAAGGAATTTCGGCGTGATGTGTAATTTTGACAGAACTAGAAGCGAATTGGTTGTACATATTGAGGGTTCAATCGAGCTTTAGTGTTCTACCTCCCTTATTTTAAGTACGTAGGATACTCCACTACGATACTCGCTCAATATTGATACAAATGCCTTGAACTTCACAGAGACCCAAAAGACCCTTTTTTCACGAGGGCAGCACTTAATAGCCAGTGGCCAACAAACCTGTGGCCCTCATTCCGTGATCAAATTGGAATTTAGGAGTTGATTTTTGCGGAGGGAGGAAAACCGGAGAACCAGGAAAACCCTCGAAGCACAGGAGAGAACCAACAAACAACTCTACTCATAAACAACACCGCAACCGGCGGGACTCGAACTCGGGTCGCATTGATGAGAGATGCTTCCCGTAAAAATAAAGAAAACATAAGACGCAAGGTAAGACCTTTATTCGTATGAATTTTTGAATTTTATTTTTTACTGTATTTTGACGATAAATCAACACTAATAGCCAGCTTGGGCTACCTGTGAAGTAATAGGAAAACCGGACAACCGTTTTTTAACTAGACCACTGACCAAATGGTGGCTACGGCCTTGTGAATATAATCGCAGTTAAAAAAAGCGGAAACCTATAGTTTACGTTACTAACCAGCTTCATTTAGAGGGTCCGGAAGGGGTGTATTGGGACAGACCTTATTCGAGTTCCAAATTACCGCTGTGCTCCTTGATTACAGACTCACAAATATCAACGATCAAATAGAGTGCTCGCACTAAATCCGTGAAACAAATAGACTACTAATTTTTAGCACTAAATAGTGATAATTAAACAATAGAAAACAAAGGATTCTGTATGAAATAATACTAATTAGTACTATTTAATGTTCACGGTTTTAGTGCGTGCACTCTAACGAATTGCACAACTTCAATGATACAAACACTTGGAAATTCCACTGACATTCATTGGAACACTGAATATCCTGCACAAAATCGAGGCAAACCTGTGTTAATGAGTCTGTAATCATAAGACTTATGCGCTATTTTTTTTGCCCTAGAAGAAGTGGGATTTAGATTAATGGGAATAGAGAAAAAACTAAAATGGGAAAACGTTTTTAAAGAAAAAGAAAAAGATTTGGACACTGGGAGTGGGATTTGTAAAAAAAAAGTGTATAAGTGGGGAAAATTTGAGGGCTCTTGATTCGATATTTTGGAGAAAATAAATGGAAATAGAAAAGGAACTAACGATTTATTACCTCTACCTTAGCTTTGTCACATCTGGTTACAGTTATCACTATAATTTCAAACTTAATCAAACTCATGTATTAAAATAATGTTAATCTCATATAGATCCCTATTAATTGCCAAATTAAACAGACTTTCCTTCTCTTTAGAATTGAAATCTTTTATGATGTTAATATTTTTAACTTGTTTTGAACCCCAGGTAAGGATTTAGTGTGAGGGGTCAATGCATTTTATATATTTAAATCTAAAAACAATTTTAGGTGTTAAATAAGTTATTTACATCACAACATCTTCGGACGATTGTAACACAAAGCTTTTCTTGAGGTATCCTTGGAGCATTTTGGAGTTGATTGTTCTCCCAAATGAAATGTGATGATGCCCATGTAACTACTGGCTTAATCTTGACAGGAAAGTACACTGCTTGACCTTGTCCATGTTCATCCAAGTAATACCACCAATGATTTGACAAGACTTGCATCAATCGAGAAAAGTCCTCCTTTTCATATAACATGTGGCCTCTGTGGTTTGATGTGGTCCCTTTTCCATGACTAACATAATGCCATACATCATGCTTTATGTTAATGTAAAAAGGTTCTCTACTCTCGCTTTTTAGGGCCGCATTAATTCCTATCAGGAATTCTCGTGCTGCTTCAGCAATTTTGTCTTCTGCAGGTTTTTCTGGGTTATCGGAGTTCCTGACAAGACGAGATTAAAATCAGAAAACATATTACTTTAACTGTCATGAGTGAAGAAAATAGAGTTATCTGAAGAGTACATAACACCTGTAGCTCTGGGCGAATCTTCAGCAGGGGTTTTCCAAACACCCTATGCCACAATTGCAATCAACGCTCCCCCCCTCAATTGACAACTATGAGCCCCCTAATTAGAAAATATCCAAAACAAATGATATTCATTTCCACAGTAAACCTGTGACAAATATGCAGTCATTGATGTGGTGTAGCCCCCCCCCCCCCCCCCCCCCAAGGCAGTCAACATCCTGGATCTGTGTCATTGTTGTATTAAATGTTAAAGGTTTCCAAAGTATCACCTTGATAGTTCTGAAGATAAACATGGCAAAGGTTCTCCAGAATGACTTGCTTCACTCCAACCTTTGCATAAATATTGATGTTCCTATCAACAAAATAATGAAACAAATAATGAAAATAAGCTTAATATTAGGGGCTTGGAATCTGCTGACTTGTATCACACAATTCATGGTGCATTAAACTTGTACTTACTCTGCTTTTAGTCCTTTTTGTGATTTTTCTTTCCACTTCAAAAAATTATGGGTAGATCTTAATGTTCTTTTAGGTACAGTGTAAAGTGTGCCTGTACTGTTGTGTAAAGAACCGATCAAACGTGATGTTGAGTAGTGTAATAGGTGCTCTGATTTTACCTGGATGCCACTGCATTTTCAATCACTTCTGGCCCAAAATGTCCAGTATTTCTGGCTATATATTACACATTTATTTGTGGGAGAGAAAGGAGGGAGGGAGAGAGGGGCTACTTGTTGTGGCTTAGTAGGGAGTGACGTAGGTCCCAATATCCTAGTTCAATTATTTTACTGTGCAAAAATGCATGGAATATATTTGAGAAACCCCTCCCTGGACAACTTAGCAATGTAGATGCAAAGCTAAAGATGTTTAATATTGAAGACCATATGAGCATATAGCAAGCAAACTCTTTATCTCATGCTGCACATACAGTACAGTACTACATTTGTCTTCATTTTCCCAATCCCCCCCCCAATTTTTCATGCTATATGTCTACCATCTTAAGAACTGCTTATTTTTATTTGTTTTACTTACAAGATTCACCAATGTTAAAAACAAAAATTAAAAAAGAGCAAAAAATGAATGAATGAATGAAATGGATGGATGGAAGGATGGACAGACAGACGGACGGATGGCTGGATGGATCAATGAAAAAATAAATGATTGAATAAAAATATTACATGGGACAAATGGCAGGGACTACCCACTAACAGAGACATACACCAATAACAGTGTCTCAAAGACCCCATTGAGCAATTAAAGAGGGGAAAAACAAATTACCTAAATATATTTGTTTATACTAGAGTTTATTTATTATTTAAGAAATCATTTACAAATTGTAACCAATTTATTAAAAAAAATTATCAAAAATGGGTGGTATCAAAAAATATTTTTTAAGCTGCTGACAGTTAAATATGTTAAAGGTACTGACTGATTATTATTATTTGAAGGCAGCAGAAAACCAAAATCTATTGTATAGCTCAAAGTTATTGAACATGATGTCAGTTTATTGAGATAATATAAAAATAGTTTTGAATTGTAGGTTTACCATTTAAATATATTTTTTATACAAAAATAGAGACAATGTTTTGATGGTCGCAAAATGCATGCTTCTAGCATTATTTCTAAACATCATATTTATCAAAAATATAGTTACAAAACTACTGCTAAATACTTATATTTATGCAAGTATAAAACTTGAATTCCACTTCTTGATAGGAGGGACTGTGGTCATTCCATCAATGCTTTTTTCTGAAAAAGTTACATTGATGATCAAAAAATTAATGTACTGTATCAACAGAATTTTTTAATAGTTTTTTTATGAATTAAAAACTGTTTTAATCAAATAATTAATTTTATTTGTATATTTATTTCAAATTTAAATTTTTTTATTCTCATCATTGAAAAATTATATTTTAAATTTAATCAATGTTTCAACCCTGTTAATATTCATTTCATTTTTTTATACAGTTTTTTTCTATCACTATGCAGTGAGGCCATTAATATAAACAATGAACTTCATATGAGCTGAACCTAATGACATAAAGGAAGACCYGCTATTATTCATTCTTTATGCATAAGGCTCATGTGAAGCTCGACATTTGACTCCCAAACAATAAAAAAAATTTCCTTAGTTTATGTTTTGCTATGAAGATTGAAGAACCATTATTATTATTACTGAAAGAGAGAACGCATGGAAATGCCAGTTGTTTGATTCTATTGTGATAACAAAAAAAAGTGGAATTGGGTGCGTGGTAGGGTGTTTTCCCTTTTAAACAAAAACCACAGGCAGTGAAGAACTATTATTATTACTGAAAGAGAGAACTCACGGAAAGGCCATTTGTTTGATTCTATTGTGATTAAAAAATAGTGGAATTGGGTGTGGTAGGGTGTTTTCCCTTTTAAACAAAACCACAGGCAGCCCAATGAATAAGGTAATAGGTAAATACTCTCACTATAGATTAGGTATTCATATTGTAGTGACTCACAATATTGTCCKGGTCATTACTGTCAGATAGTTTACGCTTGGTACCAGTTTTGCATAGAGCCTTATCATTATTGGAATCAATATTCATTGCTTGACCATTGGTGGAATTATCTTTGGCTGTGGTATTTACTCTGCAATATAACATTAACAATGCAGGAAATTACATGGCCAAGAGATCATACTCATAACAATGTCTTCTGCAACTTGCAATGCAATGTTTACAGTTGCAGAAAAAGTTGAACAAGCTTCTGCTTTTTGCAATGTTGTGAAACAAGTTGCAGTGTGTAACATCTATCCTACAACCTACAATGCAATCCCTGTCACAGTTGACCAATCAGAATTCAGTTCTTCCAAATCTCTGCTGACTTAATTTTATCTGGTTTTATTGCAGAAATGTCCAAAAACTCACAATTAAGATGCTGAAATACAAGACACAAAAACATCCAAGTTAGACGTTTTTGTGTCTCATATTTCAGCGCCTTCATACTCTGCTTCGGTCAGCATTGCATTGCAGGTTGCAAAAAACATTGCCCTTTGTAATTTRTCCTTAAAAGTAAAAGCTTTTTAATGACTGATCAAGTGACTGGTCGAGACCCCAGAACTTTGTCATTTTTACAGCAGCTCAATAAACTGCCAGAGACTTGGGGAAATCCCTTTTGTTTCAATTTAAAAGGAGGGAAGATTGAGCTCTTTAGAAATTATAGCCTATATATATATATTTAAGATCATTTACGCTACCCTGTCGTTTACGCTCACGGCCTACCCCTTGAGCCCATTCTCAATCCCCACCCCGGCCCGCTTCCCAAACTCTCTCCGAGCTCATCACCCACTTTTAATAAAAAAATTTCCTTTATAAAACACAAAAGTTATGCGTAAATTGAAAAATAATGCAAATTAATCAAACTTGGGTAAACTTTTGTTGGTTTGTTTACCGCTAAAGCGCGCCCCCGATTCAACAGCTCAAAATAGGTATGTTTACCCGTTATGAGGCAAGTTGTTGCAGTCCTGTGCTTTCCTAACGGCTAAAAAATGCTCTACATGTGTAGATTACTACATAACTTTTCAAATAGCTATTCAAAATTCAAGTATGCATGGACACGACAGGAATCCAGTCACGATATTCGGGAAACGAGCTTCAGGGAATCTCGCTACGTGATCTGATCGTTGACTTCGAGATTCAACGAGGCGGACAAAACCACACGATCTGTTCTCACTGATGTARCAGAGAGCGTGAAAATATCCTCTAAATTACCTTGAGTTTTGTGAACTGCTGCTTAGTAACTGCAGAAGAGAGGAAAACTGTGTTTGCAGGGCGCTGTATTGCCACGGTTCCATCCTCGAGAAGGAAGTACAGCCTCGCAGATTACGGATGATCTTTGGAACGAAATGCGGGATCACGTTACGATTTACACGAACCTGGCACGAACTGGCTCGAACAGGTTTGAACCGACACGAACCTGGCACGAGCTGGCACGAACCAAACACAAACTAAATCCACAGGCAGCCCAACTGATAAAATATAATCCAAATACTTCTTTTTTAGGCTTTCGCGTGAGTCTGACATTATTAATAAAGATACGTTTGGAATTTTATGGTTCTTGTGCATAATGCATGATTAAATTTGACGTTTCGAGATCTCTTGCGTATAATTCAGTCATTTTGACGGATCCCGATGATAAATCCACAGGTAGCCCAATTGACATAATATATGCAAACTATTGAAATAACATATTTAATTTTCTGTGAACATTTCCCAAATATACGGCCAACTACGTTTTTTTAATCTAATGAAAAAATTTGTGTGAGAGAATATTTTTTCATCAGATTGTGCGCTGAGGACTCTGGGAGAATATCTTCCCCGACCCCCTCCCTCTACGTTTCAATTTATTCAGTAAGAGCCTGGATCCAAACATTATCGTATTAATAATGTGGCAAGGCTTGTACAGTATGTCCAAAAAAACTCCACCAAAAATTACACTAAAGATCACTATATTTAAACTATTTTAAGAATATATTTTCTTTGGTGTGTAGTTAAGTTTACATTTGGATAGAAATCGTTGTTTTTTGGCAAGTTTTTGAGATAAAATGTGGCACGAGGCGAGACGAGTTGAGAAGCAGATTCGAGGTATGATGGTGAACTTCAAGAAAAGAGCTGAGAGAAGACGAGCTTTTTACRGCAGAATGGTGAGATATTCTTGTTTTTTTTGGGGTAGTATTTGGTTATTTATAAAATTTGTGTAAGAATTGAAATCAATGGAAGTTAATGTTCAAGCTTAAATCTTCTTGTATTATTCATTTGTTGTTGATCAAAGATCATTACTTACTTAAGGATTGAAGCTTGATTTCCTTTGAAGTACCCACTCAACCTTCAAATCTTATTCAATGATACCTTGTTCAAAATAATTTCTGGGCTGATTTTCCAAGTGCATAAGTCTGCTTATGAGTGCATTTATGATATTACCACATTTTTCATTGCTATTAAAATATGTTCCATTTGATATGAAAGTATAAAAATATAAGAAAGATACACACAGGCCTAAAGTTTTTCAGAGGCAAGTGATTTAGTGTGCCTGGCATTGATCCGCTCCCGACTTACAATGCACATGTATTAGCCCAGATGTTGTTTGAGGGTTGGATCAGTGAGCCATGCCCTGACTTTGATCGACCCAGATATTGTCTCAGAGCAAATACTACATAATATGTATGAATTTCAAGGTTGAAGTTTTTAAAGGAACTTTGAAAAGCTACATGGGAATGACTTTATGATTGAACATAGAAGTTCTAATGTCAATTAACCTATAACAATCTGTCACAAGAAGATAGGTAAACTAACTATCTTACTAAATTTGCTTAATAGAAACAAGATCCAGTGCAGTTATTGAGACTTTATGGACACAAATGTAAAATCCACATTGATCACCAAGTGGCAACAGCAGCAGAGCACAGCTCTGTGATGTAAGTACCACTACATGTACAGAGTACCGGTAAATTTCATAATTATTATGTACATGTATTATACAAATGGAATATGGCAGACATACAATCAATCAATCAATCAATCAATCCTTTATTTGATAAAGCAGGTTAATATTAAATATATTGCAGATAACAATAAATGCATCAGCAACCGAAGGCTGATGTGGACCTGTATGACATAACGCAACCAATCACAATGCAGGGAATCACTGTGAATTCAGTCATGTTCACTGCACTCATGTTCTACAAGTCAATAGCCCATGAGCTAGGATGAATGGGCTATTGACTCGTAGACCATAAGGGCAAGAGAGCTAAATTGCAATTTATCATCAATAAAAGGACTGACGCACACAAAAATGTTGTCATTTTGTTAATTGGCAGTGATTGCTTGTTCCAAGTCTTTCACTCCTTTTTCACAAGGTTTATGACTTGAACACATTGAGTAGCTCATAGTCTAATTCAATGTTCATGGTCCAGGAAGGAATAATTATCTCCCCCTGAAATTAACTAAATTATTTACTTTATTTAGGATGCCTTGGCAAGGACATGCTGATAACATGATTGACAGGTAATCATTATCTCTCTTGTTGATGACTAAGGTTTTATGATTTATGCCAAATTATGTACTGTAGGTTTGCTGTGGATCCAAAGGTTTAGGTCACTTGTTCAAGCCCTGTGGACACCATATGTGAATTGAGTTTGTTTGATGTGTTGTTCTCTCCTATGCTACGAGGGTTTTCTCCGGGTTCTCCGGTTTCCTCCCTAAAAACCAGCATGTGAGYTTAGCGTTGTGTGCATTGAATATTGAATGCAGTGGAAGTAGGTGTGAGTATAAGTGGGCCAAAGTGGAAACCAACCATTAACACTGTACTTACTTTTTTCTTTAAAAAAAGAAAGATTACATGTATGTTTTCATTTAAACAGGTGTTTAGTTTATAACATTTATGTTACTATTTTACCTTTGCCTATTAATATATTTAGACACAAAATTTTTTTATGAACAGGTTTGATGGTCGTGCTCATCTTGATATCATTAATGAAAATTCATCAGAAGAGGTGATTGCAGGGTAAGCATAATACAGTATTAAGGATAATACTTGGCTGTGTGGAGATACAGTTTTCTTTGAGTGCTGAGGTGATAATTATCTTACCAGTGAGCTCAGCACATGAGTGAGATCAGAAATTCTCAACAAATGAAGATGTATATATTCATGTGTGAATTGCATTCTTAAGCAATGGCCATGAAGTCAGAAATTGTATTCCTTCATAAATATTAATATAATTGTACAGTGTAATTATGTTTATCATATTGAAGTATTAAAACCAGTATTTGACCTTCTTCTAGCCCTCTGATGGAAACAGATCCTGAACAAAATCGTTTAAATTATGAAAGATATAGGACTCTGGTCATGATAGATCACAGTGGAGGTATAAAAATTAATATTATTGATAATATTACATACACACAAGTATATTTGGCTACGCCTCGTGGATCCACATTACTTTGACAATGTGACGACGCAATTTATCGTCAATAGGAGGACAATAAGACACATAATCAGGCAACAATGTAGACTGGGGGGTGTGTCTGTTACATACCAATTCTGGGTTCATCTTTGTTGTGATTGGTAGATGTTGTATTGATTGATGACGAGTGGTACATGACAGACACACCATCCAATTTGCAAATGAAAATAGATCAAAGCTTAAGGGTCCCTCCAAAAAATCACATCAAGTTGTCAGGAATCAACTCAGATGGACATGTGTGTGATATCATTCTCAAATCAACCCCCCCCACCAGGCCTAGTATATTGTTTTTATACATAAATAACATCGTGATGATAGTTTAATTGTAAGACTTTTTAAATTAATAACAGACTGCAATTTTCGATATTAAACCTATGAACATAGTAATTCAGGTTGTCTGTTATAACTTGGGTTTTTCACTGCCGCCAGGCAAAAATATTGTGATCAGGGACCAGTCATTATTTGTTTTTTATTGTGCATATGCCATGTTTAGTTTTTTTTTT